CTGCAGATTTAGCTCATAAAGGATATATGTCACAGCTAGTTTTTGCACTGAACCTCTAAACACACAAGAAGGCACATCAATAATAATGAACCTTAGTTTATTTGGCAATAATTGAGTTCACGATGAAAAGTATCTTTTTCCATAGTGTGCTCACTAGATATCCAGCTCCTGGATTTTAAATACACAGAGAAGACTGATACTATAGCTCAGTGATCAGGTTAAATTGTCTTTAATGGTACTGCCTTATGTCTGAAGAGTTCCTGTGTTATAGTAAGACATTTCTCTCTAGGTTTAACATATTGGCAGAGTCATTCTTTCACTTCTTATACAAATGTAAACTTAGAAAACAGTTTATTTCATCCAAATGTGCAATCTGAAATCAAAAACTGAATGTAAACTTCAGAAAATCAAAATTACAAGAGCACACTTTTCACAAGAAAAATCAAAGTAAATGAAAGAAAAACATTTGGAATTTAAAAAAAAAAATCCCAACAACCCAGCCTGTTCAAATCCACGGTGTTAGTGTCTGCATTAAACAAAAAGACCTGATCCGATTTTTAAAGCTTGCCTTAATTATTTTACTGATCCTACACTTACATATTCATACCAGAAAACAATCTCAAGAGCTGCAAAATGTCAGACATTCAATCAGCTCTAAGTGCCTTGATGAATGACGAATATACTGAGCCAAATCAATCCCTGGTACCACTTTGCACACAACCGGCTTCCAAATGACACCAGAAAAGACACAGTTCATCTGCTTTTTCAGGGCATGCTACCTATTGCCAAGAAGCTATGTTTTTTCAGTGCTGTCATGGACCAACAAATTCAAGGAGCACTTTTTATCTATGAAACAAGAGATCGATTTTCATAGATAACATATTCCACATTAAGAAAGGGAAGGTTCTAGCAGGCTGTCTTCAGTTAATCAAAATACAAAGGGAAGAAATGTGGGGCTTCAAATTGTCTATACTTTATTTTCTTTTGGATTAACTGACAGCTGCACTCATTAAAAAAGCCCAGTGACAGAAAACAGATCAACTGTGTCCATGGCCAAGAAACTATGTATTTATGTGCAATGCAGGTATATTTTTACTGTATCTTTGTAAAACTACTATGAAAAATCTACTAATGAAATCAGTGATTTGGAAAATATGTTTCATGTAATCATTGTGGTTGGAAGGGACCTCTGGAAGTCGTCTAGCCCAACCCCCTACACTCCAAGCAGGGCCAACTAGTATCAGTGAGTTGACTTATTGCAAAAAGAGTAGCACATCATACACCTGGTAACTGGTCCAAAGAGTATCTCTTTCCAGTTTTCTCCTTTTCTTTTCCATAGCTAACTTTAGCATTTTTTTTCAAGTATGAAAGAACAATTTTCCCATGCTCATTCTACTCAAAGAGCAAAAATGGGCGGGTTTTTTTTTCAGTTTGCTTAATATCAGACATGATTCTGTTCTGAATGACACTTTTGCAATAACTTACCTACTGGTTTCATGTTAGAAGTGTGTCTAAGAACTTTCAGGATTGTGGCTTGAACAGCCATATGACCAGGCTAAATCAAAACATCATTTTCTACCAGTTCCCTCTTTGGAATTAATTGATGTGAAAGAGTAAAGAACTTGGAAATTAGCAGATTATTTCTGCCAACAGACTCTGTTCTGCAAGGTAGTTGGTGTTTGTACGTATTTTCTAGAACTATGGAAGTCTGCGTGGTTCTGCTTTACTGATAGCATGTGGAATTCAGTGATTATTCATGAGTAAATACTGAAGTCCTCAAAAACGGCCACAGCAATAAGACTTCTTTTCAATAAATCTGATTCCAGATGTGATACAGCAACTAAAAGCAGACGTAAGCACTAACGGCAGGGATGGGGGGCGGAGCGGGGGGAGTTCTGCCAAAACCGTTACCTGGGCTTAAATGAAGAAACAATTACTGGACTCCAAATGAAACTGTAGGTAACCAAGAAGCTTGTCGCTGTATAGTTACACGGTGGAACTTAAGCTGATCTTAAAACCACAAGCTGTGACTTGTAGCTTTGCTTTCTCAGACCAGTACTGCTTGGATGCGGAGGCTGCTCTGTCAGATTTCTCTTAGGGGTTGCAATAGCGTTACATTTCTCCCCCCGAGCTTCACCTAACAGGAAAAACGATCTTTTACAGCTTTCCGGTAGTTACTCTGCCTGGAAATACCATATATTCCACAACAGCACCTGAACTCTCTGCAGGTCTAACCACACACATTAACTTGAAAAGGGCAGACTACGTACCAGTGGAGCCGAAGTTAAACCTATCTCTGTTGTTATTTTTTATACACAATATGACTGCAATCCTGCGGGACACGCTCTGAGAGGGTTGTACTAAAGTAAGGACTGCAAGATTCAGAGCACCATCAAACAACAGGTCAGTTTTGCTCTCAGGCATTGATATAAAAAAGCACATATTCCAGGTGGTCTGGTTTATATAAATACACTCCAGAGAGACTTTGACTTCATTCTTCAGAAGCATAAAAGAAAGGAAAATATAGCCCATGAATTTCGATGTACTAAAATAGAGATGTATACTACATTATTTCAGCAATAGAATTACTTGGCATTTAGCAAAACTTACAAAACTGCTACTATAGATGCTAGTAAATCTAAAAATTTTGAATGTTAAACTCTGCCTTTGTTTACATCTAGGCAACTTCATCAACTTTAGTCCAGGTTCAGCACAGTTGCATGGATACAACAGAAAGCAGAATTTAGCTTTTAGCTTTCTTGCAGAAGGGTTTTTATGGCTTATAACATAGAAAATTCACGAGAGCATGCCTGAAGCTGAACACTTAGTCATAAATATCTTTACTGTACATTGACTTTTAATGCAGCGTCTGCCCCCAAGATCAGTGGCAGCAGAAAGCCTTCTCCTCACCTGGTTCACCACAAGCAGGTCAAGGAAGTCCTGAGACAACATGCCCAAGGGTTGCAGAACAGTGCTTCTGATCATGAGAAACTCTTTGTGTCTACTCAGAAAGCAGTAAAAATAGATGTTTAATTTTGAGTGGTGGGAATATATTTTAACTGTTGAATAAAATAAACACATTCAGGAAAACATTTAACAGCAGAGATAACTGGCAATTGTAACTACTTGCTACAGGGTGACCCTGCTTTGCCTGAGTAAGGACTGCACTGCCAGGCCAAATACTTTGAAGATGCAAAGGGTCATCCCAGTGTGTTTGACTGCTCTTCTCCAATCACAATACTTCCGATTTATAGCAGCAATAGGACTGACTCCGAGCTTCAGTTCTTTTGGCTTTTGCTTAGAACAGAAGTTGGGCCTAATCCTCCATTCCTTTTGTACCCAAAAATCTCCCAAGCCTTATCAGGCATTCAGAATTCTGACTAACGTCTGTGAGAGTATGTGTTACAAAGGAATAAAGGACAGAGCCAGTTGTAAAGAAAGCTGCACCTTAGAAAAAAATACCCAGTAGTTTCCTCTGCCCATTTTTAAGGGAAACACACGATTTTCCAAAGCAGGATTTTAATGGCTTTATCTAAGGCCCCAAATCTACATTCCTTCTGGCTCCCAAAACTCCATGTGAATGTCAGTTTTGCTTGAATAAGGCCTGCAAGATCCATCCTCAAATCTTGCTCCTTGCTAAATTGAATGGAAATTCTGCAAGTGACTTTAGTGGGATCAGAATAGACCCTTCAGCCACTAGCATGTTGCCCAGATATTTTGGCCACCTTTTCTGCAATACCATATTGTCTAAATCTGTTTTCACTGACCTGTAAGACACTACGGATTGTTGTTAAAGGAAAGGGTAGAACACAACAGGAAATAATGTTGCTTTGGGAATTTTACCATTAGTAAGTTTCCTTCCCCTTACATTTTCTTGTAAGATCAAAGATCAAACTAAAATGATTAAGTACACAGTCAAATAACTTTAAACCTACAGATCAAAATTATTCTCAAAATGTTCAAATACTTAAAAATATGCACTCAAGTTTCCTTCTAAAAAGCATTTTTCCAACAAACTTAAGCGGATATCTAATAGTCTAAAATGCAGAGCTGTACTTTATCCTATTGTCTGTCCACGGGCAACGTATGGGGCCACAATGTGTTGAAATCATAATCCTTGCTTTCTGAAGAGAAATTGTTCTGTGTAATAATTTCTGAGGTGTGGTTTAAATTCCTGTCCTCCTCTAAGCAACTTCAGAAGTCATCTAAAATTATAATCAAACATGCTCAAACATATTTGTGGGCTTAAAAACATGGTCAGCAAACACTGGATAGAAGGTCAAACCGAACACTTCCTAACAGGTCAAGAGTAAAAAAAAAATTATAGAAAGATGAACCTCAAAAGTCTATTACAGGGGTTACCTAAACTTTGCCCGGCCGAGGACCACATCAGCAATTTGCCATGAGCACAAAGGCTCCGTTAAGTCGTGTTATGTGGAAGAAACCGAGTCATCTTTAATATGGCAAGTTGGTCCATAGAGAGGACAGGTGCCAGTAGGCAATATGCCACCCTCATGTTTGCCATAGGGCGACGTAAGATATGAGAGGAAGAAAATAAGTCATTGCATCTGCTCATTTAGAGCTTATGTGAAAGAGGGTGGAAGTGAGGGCAAGAGCAAGAGGGAGCTGACAGCCAGGCACATGGGCACTGGGGATATGAACATTCTTCTCAGATGAAAGTCAGCCTCAGGGCACATGACCAGCTACCATCACCACCTGTCACCTGTGCAGGCCTCCCCTATGGCTGCCCTTGGGAGATCTGCCATGGACATGAAGGAAAGTGGGACCGGTCCCCTGGCCCACGGGCTGCGCTTCGGCCACCCCTGACCTATAAGAAAATGTTGATATTTTTCCCCACTACAATTCACAGAGTGCAAAAACAGCAAGCGTCAAAGTTTGAAGCCCAGGCCTTCCCACCCACGCCAGGCCTGGCCTCCCCAGGCAGCTCCCCTGCCCACTCTGCTTTCCATCACCTGCTCCTTGGAGCAGAAGCGACCGCACTACACGGCCAGGTCATCTGACCTGGCTCTGCAGCTGCTCGACTTACTGGCCCTGCTCAAGCGCCGCGTGTCTATGAGCAGCGGTGGCTCATGCATCTCCACGGTGGTGCAGGCAGCTGAGACGGGCCGTTCCTCCGGCAGCTCCTCCTCACCCTCCACATCCCACTTGCTGGCACTTGCCCCGCTCAGGCTGGTGCTGCTGGCGCTGCTGTCCTGACGGC